ATGGTACCCAAATCAGCCAAAAGCTTGCCGAAATTGTGGAGCTACTGACCACATGGCCAAAGACTGCTCTGCAGTCCGTTGTTTTAATTGCGAATGCCCCGGGCATCGAGCTCAAGAATGTAAAGACCCGCCAAGATGTTCCGTTTGTTTAGTGGACAGTCATTCCATGCCTCAATGCCCCTTCCTACTCTTCAGCGCGAACGTCGATAACGAGCCTACGACGCCTACGCCACCTAAAACTGAAGAGGAAAAGAAACAAGAACAAATCCGGCGTGCCAAAGAAAGAGAAGAAAGACAGAAAAAACTACAACAACAGAGAGAACAGCAACGACAACGAGAAGAACAGCGGAAACAACAAGAACAACAGAAGACCAGTGAGCGCGACGAAAGTAGAAAGGAGCGACCAAGAGAACGGAACGATCGACAAGAACGAAGAGACAACCGGAGAGACGATCGAGAAGAACGAAGAGACGACCGGAGAGATGGCAGAAGAGAAAGAGATAGAGACGATCGAGATTACTATTATCGCGGCCGGGATGACCGCGATAGTTCTTCCCGCCGTGACTACTCTTGCTCTGAAACTGATGATGACGGATGGCAGAGAGTTAACACTAGGAGAAGGCGGTACATATATTAAATCTTTATTTCTATTAAATAAGCAAGCTTAGAATAATTTCTCCAAATATGCGAGGATTCGAATCCTCCGGTAAAGCTCGAAAAATTATTCAAGAATTAAACCACTTAAGGTGCGATATAATTTGTTTACAAGAAACACACCTCTCATGTAAAAATCAAGCAGACAAATTTGAATCTCTTTGGCGCGGCAAATGCCTGTGGTCCTTCGGGACTGGCAAATCCGCCGGCGTTGCTATTTTATTTACTCCGAGTTTTTCTTGCAAAATCATTCGCTTTCTAACAGATTCTGATGGTAGAATACTAAGCTTGCTCCTTGATTTTAGAAATCATAAATTCAACGTGGTAAACATATATGCTCCCAATTCTATCTCTGAGCGGCAAAACTTTTTTTCACGTCTACACGATTATTTTCTCCCCCAGGGAGATCTATTGATCGGGGGAGACTTTAATTGTGTAGACAATACTAAATTGTTCGGTCCTTCCGACATCGGATCAAAAAAATTTTCCGATCTCTTTATGCTGATTTTCTACTCTCAGATATTTGGCGCAAAAACAGGCCGCGCAAAGTAACTCTCACCTGGTCTAACAAAGACCATACGCAGGCATCTAGAATTGACCGCTTTCTCATCGCTAAAAGCTTAACCCCAATAACGAATTGTAATATTCTTCCATGCGTATATGCACTATCCGATCATGACTTTGTAAAAATTGAACTAACGACTAACCCTTCTAATCACGGTCCTGGAATTTGGAAGTTCAACAGCTCTCTACTCACAGATGTAGAATTTAAAAACATTATGTCAAAATCGATTAAGAACTTTAAGCTTGAAATCCCCGAATTCGCGTCCCTTCGCGAATGGTGGGATGCTCTAAAAATTGAAATCCGCAAAACAAGTATTTCATACTGTATTCGTAAACAGAGAACAGCAAACGCAAAAAGAACCCTAATTACTAAGCAATTAACCCGTGCTAAGAACGCTTTACATTCTAATCGCTTAAATAACCCAGGTGTAATTAGCGATTTGGAAAGCCAATTGTCCTCTCTACTCTCGAAAGAAACCGAAGGAGCTAAAGTTCGCTCCCGAGCACAATGGTTCGAAGAAGGCGAGAAACCAACACGCTATTTCTTCCGTCTGGAGAAAAAACGAGCTGATAGGAATAGTTTTGAATCTTTCTTTGACGAGAACGGTGTTCTCAGAAATTCAAAAAATGATCTTGAAAACATTTTAACCATTTCTATAGGAATTTATTCACCAAAGATCCTCTCAATATGCAAATTCAAACTGAAATAATTGACCACCTCGAATTATCACTGACTGATTTTGAGCGCAATCTATGTGAAGGCCCTCTTTCAAATGATGAATTACTTACTGCATTGGAAGGCCTTCAGACCGGCAAGTCACCCGGTTCTGATGGTCTCCCAACAGAATTTTATTCGTGTTTTTGGAACGATTTGAGCGAATCTCTCCTTTCTGTTTTGAATGAGGCCTTTCTTGCTGGCTCCCTGGTGGATAGCCAGTGCAAGGACCTCTTACGACTCATCCACAAAAAAGATGATCGACGCCTCGCAAAAAATTGGCGCCCAATTTCCTTGTTACTGACTACAAGTTAGCATCTAAAATCATCACTGAACGACTGAAAAAAGTCATGAATTCCATCGTGCATTCAGACCAAACGTGCGGTGTGGTCGGCCGCACTATCTTCTCCAATTTGGCCTTACTTCGTGATGCCCTTGACATGATTGACAAAACAAATGAACCAGGTATTCTCATTTCCTTAGATCAAGAAAAAGCTTTTGACCGAGTTGACCACGAATTCTTGATGAGAGTATTGCGTAAATTTGGTTTCGGCCCCTCCTTTTGTG